TTTTTTTTTTTTTTTTTTTTTTTTTTTTTTTTTTTTTTTTGTACTAGGGATCGAACTCGGGCCCTTGCACTTGGGAGGCAGGCAGCAGAACCACTGAGTCAAATCCCTGGTAACCAATAGTATTTTAAAGGCACATTTTCTCAACGTACAATTAAACGTCACAGTCTGGTCTCATTTCAATTCTGCATCATCTTTCTTTAATTCCAGAGAGAGAGGAAAGAAAGAGTGAATTAGTAGAATACGTGTATGTTACAGTATGCCATGATAGGACATAGTATGTCAAGACAATGTGACTTTTACCAAGATGATGAAATACATTTCTGGTTATATCACTATACAGACTACAGTGTATTATGTCTACATGTACTCTTTCTGATGACAACTTACATACACATTCTTGACCATGTATGTATGTATATTTCATAGAATCAGCTCACAGTTACGTTAAGATGCATGTTATCAAAGAGGCTTAAGGGCTTAATTCTTTTCTATCCACGAGATATAATAGCACTGTAGATTTTTGCAAATATTCTCTTTTAAGACAATTCAGCTGTATGTATTTCTGCAAATGAAAATTTGCTACCTCAAAAGGATAAGGGATAATCTGCACAAAAGTTGATGGGAAATTGATTGGAAATAGTGCCAGATGCTTTCTGTAGAAATACACAAGCGATTTGGCATCTCTGGTTCTAGATCAAACGTACTCCACTGACTGGTGGACAAGCAGAGGAAACTTCTGTCACTGTGCCCACAACCTGAGTAATCGGAACTGAGAGTGGCTATGAAAGAATCTTCTGCTAAAACTGTACACGAAGGGTCATAAAAATAGGACTGCAATGGCTCAAGTGTTTTGGAGAGGCACAGATTTTTAAATGTGCTGAGCTAGAAGACTCTGGAAATGAAAAACTCTGTTAATCTAAATAATTAACAGAATATGTTAGCACCCAGTGGACACTTGAAAAATAGCAAATGAACTAGTACACACACACACTTCTGCAGTGGGTTTCACAATGACGTGCAGTTTTCACATAGAACAACTCAGTCCCATCAGAACATAAGCTGATCCTGTGGATTTAGAGCTCTTTTCTTCTAAGTCAGGATGACTTCATCAGGCATGATACCTTTTTTTGGTACAATTTAAAAGTGAAGAAAAAAGAGTACATGAATATCCTTTTGCGGGGGGGGGGGCCAGGGATCAAACTCAGGACCTTGCACTTGTGAGGTAGGCGATGGCACCACTGAGCTAAATCCCAGGCCCCATAATATCCAATTTTAACACATCATATTAAATTAAATTTTAGCATCTTGTGCTTTATTATTAATACAGCTAATGCCTCCAAATGCCACAACAGTCTGGTTCCCATATCGTCAAGCAGAATAAACACTGTATTATGAGCAAAACAGTAACTCGTTTCTTCAGTACTTAACACGTGTTAGTTCTAAGACTTTTCATTTATTTTTCACTGAAATGTGATGAGTACTCTTAGCATTTTTATTTTGCAAAATAAGTGCATTGTAATTTGGACATGTTAATTGATTTGTACGAAATCATATAGCTATTAGGTCAAACTAAGACTTGAAAGTAGGTCTAAGAGGCTCTAAAACTACTAACCCGAGGTGGCTTAGAAGATAAAAGGTTAAGACCTACCATGGAAAAAGTCTTTAAAACTACAAAGTCTTTGTAAATAGGGGAGGGTGGAGCAGGTGAAGGGAGGGCAGGTGTAGGGGGAAAAAATGAGAACCAAGATCTTTAATGTAAAGGTACAAGATTCCAATGATGAATGTAAATGTACTGTATACTTAAAAAGTACCAATAAAGTGAATAAGATTAAAAAAAACTACACTGTCATGTAGTGCAGACGGCTCAGGGAGCGAGTGCTTGCCAACTCATGTAAGGCCGAGTTTCATCCCTAGCACCACAAAAAACAAACAAGAAACAAACAAGCAAAAGAAAAAAAAGCTGTATATGGTCAGTCCAGGCTTGCTTTCATTTTTGTTGTCTTTATTTGCTGCTTTTTAGTTCCCCAAAAGGGAAGAGAGTGATAAAAACTTACCTGTTTACCATTGTGAGTTACTGAAGACAAGATGGTTCTTAATGTCTTGAATCCCATAGCAATGTCAAGAAGATGAGCAGCAAAAAAGAAGTTGTTATAGTGTCCCAGAACGGACATAGTCATGTACCAGGCTAGGTAGAGGAAGGACTGTTAAGACAAAACAGTGGGGGGACAGTCATGTCAGAAAATAACATGACTATTGTGAAAAGCTCTTATGACTTCAACCTGTTGCAATAACTCAATTTAGCTCAGGTCCTTAGACTCTAACTTTTTCATTCTAACTGGCTATATTAGTTCTTTGTATATTTTATTTTGATTTAGCTTGTTTGGAAAGGCTCAATGTTACTCTCCTCTTTTAAAAAGAATGACTTTTCTTATTTGCCATCACATGAAGAAAATGTATTTATTTCTCTTCCTGGATGGCAGGCTTTCTCAACCTCACCACAATGGATATTTTGCACCTGGCAATTCTGTCTCACAATGAAAAATAAAAAGGTCTAAGGAGGTAGAACTGAAGGCCCGGCATTCAATTCCCAGTACTGCACACAGGCCTGAACATGCAGAAATGCACACAAAAGGCACTGAGATGAGACTATGTGGAGTTTGCCCGGGCATAAGAGCGGGCTTGAGTACTAGTTCCTGTTTTGGAAAATCAGACTGCAAAGGCTGCAAGGCTTCAAGGTCAAGTTAAAAGAGACACCTCACAGCTCTTGGGAGCCACTGGAATGTTGGGAGCAAGAGAAGGGGCATTTCGGCAAACTGTCCTGAGCACGTACTAACTGCAGGCCATGGTTCCATGCGTGGGTACACAATTTCTCATTTTATTCTGACTGTATCCCTGTCAGAGAGGCATCTTTAGGTCCAATGTGCATATAATGAAAGTGAGCTCACTCAGAGTAAACCGCTGTCTAAAAAGTTTGCCAAGAGGCAGCGACATTAAATGAGGAGGCAGCCGCACTGTTTCCAGGGTGAGGCCAAAAGCCACAAGAAGCAGCAAAACCTGCAAGGACAGAAGGGAGGATTGCAAAGTAGAGAGAGACGGGTTCCAAATGAGGTAAGCGAATGGTCACAGGCAGGTATGGTGGGAAAGGAGGTACTGAAGCTAACAGTCTAAGCTTGGGTAACAAGGAGAAGACATAATACTAACAGAAAGATAAACCTGTGGCTAAAGGCCTGGATTTGGTGGGGAGAAGGGCCGAGAGGGGAGAGGACGGTTTGCCGTGGTACACGCAGATGGAAGTAACTGGCACAGCAGGCTATCACGGAAGGCAAAGCCTGAGGGAAAAGAACAAACTCACAGCACAGGATGAGAGAAGCATAAGCTGAGCCAAGAGCACATGCATGGATTCTGCACAGCTAAATGTGCATGAGCGATAAAGAATAAACCATTTGTAGCCTAACTACGTCCCCTTCACTATTGGGCACATATTTATGCTACGTTTTTTTCCTTTTGGGTTATCTGAAATGTTAACCGGGAATCTTTTATTGCATCTGGTCGTCCTAACTATGTTTGGAGAGAAATCTGACTCCTGGGGACTCAATACACATGGAGACCCTGACCTCTTAGAAGGATGTCTGACTTCTGACTTCAGGATCTACCCAGGCCACAATTTGCTGAGGGACCACAGCAAGGTGATTATCGTGGACAGGCTTGCTTGGGTAAAAGTGGACCACGCAAGGACTGTGGCGTGGAAGACGGAGACGCCAGATATAATAGCTACATGAGCACAGACTGCCAATTACAGCCCGCACTGAGGCTGCTCCTTTTTAATTAGGGGATTCTATTACAGCGGTACCTTGGTGCACGAACTTAATTTGTCCCACGATTTTGGAAAAGCCGGACGCATTTGTGTTTGTGCGGGAACAACGGCCAGGGTCATGATTGTCACCCGAAGTAGAGTTCACAAACAAAAGCAAAATTCTGTCAAACACTTTTGTCTGTGAACCCAACTGTTTGCAAACAAAAGTGTTCGTCAAGAGACGGGCCACTGTGATAGCTGCACGACAGCATATCAACAGATTATGGCTCTAAAAGATGCTTAGCATATAGGATTTCAAGTTCCAAGAGGATTCTACACAATAGCCAAAGTTCTGGGCCCAAAGGCAGAGGGCAGGGTTGGGAACAGAGGGAGAAAAATTTGGAACTGTCCTAGGTATTTAGACAGGAGAATGGAATTAACATTGACTATAAAAGTCAGCAGTAAAATTAAAGAATGAAGTCTTGAGGCAACTGGTGGCTTTGCATAAGAAGTAATTTTTTAAGAAGTAATATTTGAATACATACTTGTGCCCCAGGCTTCCTTTCCAAAGGCTCTTTGAATAAGAAGGATCATTCACAAAATGGGATACAGTAATTTAACATTCTTAATTTAGAGAGAAACTTAAAGTTAGCACAAGTAATGATTTTTAATTATTCAGTAGTTTCTTTGAACATCTATATACCTTGGGAGTAAGCCTACGCCCCGTGAAAAATCTGATTGGAGATACACACGAATGTGCATCTTAGTTTTTCCTTTTCTTATACAAATATATCTTCACTTTACCCTTTTGGTTTTTTAAAGAGACGGAATGAGGGGTGGGCTGATTACTGATATCCACAGGGAACGGTCCGCACTAAACAGGCTGCTATTTGGATAACTTCCTTTAATACCGGTCCTTCCAACTACAGATTCATCTGAGGTGGTGATGAAGGAGGCTTACATTGTCAGTGAAAACGACTCCTAGTTTCCACATCTGATACTTCACATCGATGGAGTTCAGTCTGGAGTGACAAATATAAATAAAAGCGGAATGAGTAGATTTCCACATCAGTCAAAGACTCATCGGCTTGTGAGACAGCCCGCCCACATGCAGTCCTTGTCAGGGCCACGACTGGACGCCTTCCCAGGACACTGCTCTCTGCCCCAGTGTTGGGGATTGGCAGAGAGCTCCTCTCAGCGCATAAGCCAGGGCTCTGCAATGCTGTTCTTTAGAGGGATGTTGGAAAACAGCAAAATACACCACCCCCTTTTTCATCATCTTTCTCTTCCACTATCTTTTCCTATGTTCAGTACTAGCTCAACCTACTTTATAATTAATGCTTACTCCTGGAAACTGTACTAAATTAACCAATGTTGTGATTCAGAAGTTTCCTCACTTGTTTTTGTTAAATATTTGTAACTGCATTTCAACGGAATGATTTTTGTTGTTGTTGTTCAAACAACTGTACACGATTTATTTTACAACTGTCCTTATTTTATATATGGAAAGCTTCTTCACTTGGTGGCTTGCTTTTGTCTTTGGCGACCTCACTTTCTCTGCTTACGTTTCTAACCAGGGAAGAATATAACCCTGCCGGCCGTCCCCTCCGTGGTTTGGACAGACTTCCTTGGTTAGCACTGCTCAACCTGTTTGCAACTGCTGGTGCCGCTCTGTGTGTGTAGTGTGTTTTTGTGGGTGTCTCCATCATCGTCTCTGAACTTCCTAGCAACAAGCACTGTATCTCACACATTAACTCACACATTACATAGCTCACTATCTCACACATTAACTATCTCTCGATAAATATACATTGAATAAATTAATCCCAACATAAATATTCATGATCTCCACAGGTTAAAGATTCATATATCGTTTTTCCAGGACTTGCCATTGATTTGTGGGTTAGAAATTGTGATCATTTGGTCAGCCTTTCAGTATTCTGATTCTAGGGAGTTGACATGTTAAGATATGAAAGGATACAACATGGCGTAATAGGGCAGTGTTAGTTCCAAAAGGACTCCTTTAGACTTAATATTTCAGTCTTTAATTATTTCCTTTGATTAGGATAACCTTAATTTATAAGTGTCAGGACAAGTAGTTGCTAATCAAAGCTGACATTTTAGGAGCTTTTTCCTGGAAGGGTGAAGTTTCCTTTACCTTACCCAGGACTTTTGCATTTTTAAACCCACCCCCAACATGGGGGGGCTCTCACTATGCTGCCCGGGTTGGTATGAACTCATGGACTCAAGAGACCATCCAGCCCAACCTCCCCTGTGCTGTAAGTACAGGCACACACCACTATACCCAGCTATATTTCTTTTTAAGAAAAAAGGTTGTCTTTGAGTTATAATTAATTTTATTATTATAGTAGCCTCTGTAAAAATTCCTGGGCAGGGATTAGCTCAGTGGCTCTGCTGCCCGCCTCGCAAGCTCAAGGACACAAGTTCAATCCCTGGTACAAAAAAAAGAAAAAAAATTCCTTGAGTATTCCTAATGGTTTCAATATTAGGAATAATTTTTCTTAAATAAAAAAGATTTGGAAATGCCGTGAGAAAAAATATTTTCACGAAAGTAATTTAAAGCAAAACAAAGATTTATATCAGGATGTCTGAATCCTGTGTAGCAGTTTACTTTAAAAATAACTTTTGTGATTGGTTGTTTTCGTCTCAGTCACCTGTTGGGATGACAGTGTGCTCCCACTACCATTGAGCCCCACTTCTTTTTGGTAGGGTATAATACCCTCTTCTAGCAATAGTGCTAGCCATGCCGGTCTAGCTGACCCCACCCCAGAGGGACCACGGCTGATCCTGGCCAATCTGGACTCAGCTTCCTCTGGCCACAGGACTTGGCTGAAAGGTAAACTATAAGCCAGAGCTGGGGAATTCCGCTAGATGGCTTTGAGATATGAGCTGCTGTTTTTGCTTTCTAAAGATGCCATGAAGCTCGAAGCCCTTCGGGCAGCCACAGCACCTTCAGGAAAGCAGCTAGTCACTTTCTTAAATGGATATATACCAAGCTTCATGGATTTTCCTATTAAATAAATACATGAATCTCCTTCTGTCTGGGTGTTTAAGACATCATTTATGATAGGTATGGGGGTACATGTCTATAATACCAGCACTCTGGAAGGCTGAGGCAGGAGGATCACAAGTTTGAGCCCAGCCCAGGCAGCTCTGCAACTTAACAAGACCCTGTTTTAAAAAAAAAAAAAATTCAAAATGGGGGTGGGGTGGGAGCGTAGCTCAGTGTGAAGACCCTGGGTAACCTGACCTTTCTAAGTGCTTTAGAGACAGTCCATGTAAATCTTGTTCCTAGCAATGTATATTATGTACTAGATTTTTATTCTAATTTTATTATCCATATTTAAATGTGTTAATAAATGCCATATTAAAATTTCCTAGTACTTTGCTAGGTGTCAAACTGGAAAATATTTAGTTCCTCTTTACTATAAAACTTCTAAACCATGGTGAAATTCTTTGGGCATGGGGGCACATGCCTGTATTCCCAGCCACTCAGGAGAACCTAATCCAAACTTGTTTACATGCTTGCAGTTATAACAGCATTTCATAAAAGGGTATTTCATCTGGAAGTAAACTTTCCAAGTGACAGTATCTGTGGCATAGTAAGCCTTTTCTACTTTCTAAAAGAATACAGTAATTAGAACTAAAGTATACTGACTTTGAATATTTCAATAAAAGTTATGCGTGGTTTGTTTCTATAATGTATAAAAATCAATTTAATTTCAAACGAGAAGGAACAGAAAACAAATTTAAATGCTGTACTTTTGCATATGTTTTATGTGGTTGTATAGGGCACTTAAGGGTAGAAAAGACAATTTTAATTAAGAACAAGAATATAATTTTTCCCTGGGTTCTGTATAAATAACTTCCAAAAATTAATAGAAAAGAATCCAGTCATTTCATAGATCCACATAGCCAGAAATGTAGAAAGTGACTTTCTTGTTCAGTACTGCAGATGAGTCCAGAGTCCTTTGCACTGAGTTAAATCTTCAGTCTTTTTACTTACTTATTTAATTTCGAGACAGGATAATGCTAAGTTGCCTAGGCTGGGCTCCAACTTGTGATCCTCCTGCCTCAGCCTCCCAGAGTGCTGGGATTACAGGTGTGCGTCACCACACACTGTCCTCCTGATCTGTCTCTTCCTCTGACAATGACGTACAGGAAATGGGTCTACCTACAGGTTCATAAACGCACTGACTGTCTCCTTCTCCCTCCACCTGTGGTCTGCGGTGGGGAGCAGAAGCAGCACTTACACAGCCGACAGGGAGCTGTCTTTCTTGGGTTTCTTCTTCTCTCTGGCATCGCTGAAGTCCAACGCGGCTTTGTCCATGCCCAGCAACTCACTGATTCTGTCTCGGCCATAGAACTCCCCATATTTATCCATCACCTGGAGCGGGGGAAGAGCAGCTTATTGGTATCCGTTCAGTCACAGCATACATGTGTCTGTACAAATGCCTAATTATCTGAATAGCTCTATATTTGCTATATTTGAAAGATCACTTAAAATCTAGTCTATAGGCCATCTTACACGATCATACTGCTAAAGGGATAATCAAATTACAGCATTTTAAATAATAACCATGTGAGAAATGAGATTTCTCCTTCCAGGGTGGGAGGCACACACAAGAAGATGAAAGACTGCAGTAAAAAGGTAAGAAACGGAAGGACATGGAAGCCAAGTGACCATCACCAAATTCGTACTCCGTGCCAGGAATTTGGTTTTATTCCATGAGACTGTCCCATGTGAGTTCCACCCTTTATTTCTCATGACTGTCAGAATATCCAAGTTGCATGTTATTAGCATCGCCTTTCGCGGATAAACTCTTCTACAACTTAACGTGACACGCCTACAAAGCTGCTGCACTTAGCAAGAGATAAGGACAGCAGCGTCCAAGCAATGCCCAACTCCCCAGCCAGCGGTGTTCCGCACAGTCCTTGTGTGCCACCAAGCTGGTCCTCATAGCAACGGCAGCCCCTTCCCGGTCTCAATGTCAGCCTCCCGGCTCTCTAACCAAAGTCTCCATCCCCCTTCACTCCCTTTGGTTCTGACTCCAGCAATCCTTCACGAACTCCCAAACTGTCACCACCCGTCTCCGTCCTCCTGCTGATTCCAGCTGTCAACTACCCTTTGAGCCGCCCTGGATTAGGGGAAGCAGAGGAAAACGATCACAGCATCCAGTGGGCTGCCTGGCGCCTCGCTCTGCACGGTAGGCAGAGGAGCTAGAATGCGCTATGCCGTAGCGTGCCGCCCGAGTCATTCCGGCAGTGAGGGCAGTTCAGAGAGCAAGCAAGACACAGAGCTGCCGGGCACAAGCACTGTGACACATGTACTTCAGCGCCCCCCAGATGGGATCCGCATGTGAATCCTGTGTCACAGAAGTGACCCGGCAACCCTTGAATCAGAAGGTCAACATCGGAGCCACAGCAGGGGCCACAGTCGTTGCCGAATCAAGCATCCTCAGTACTGCACTCTCCAGTGTAGTCAGAAACACAAGGACAAGACCTTGTTTTTTTTTAATCTTTAAAGTATAAAAAATAAAGTAAAAATAGCCTTTAGTCAACCTAGATAACCTAGACAGTCTCAAAGAGAATCCTTACCATGCCTTGTTACTGTTATGCACTGAGCACTGTTGATTTAGGCGAGTCAGAAGATGGGTGGATGAAGCAAAGTTTATTTATTGTGGAGCTACAGGGTATGAATTTCTTACGTGCTGTTCGTAAAATTCATATGCAGTGCTACTGTCACTTGGAAATAACATTAGCAGGCAGACAACCCCTCAGTGTCTCACTCCGTATCTATACCACATCAAACTCAAATCAGAACTGCACCGGCAGAGAAAAATAGAAAACTGATTCCGTCCATGAAAGATTACCTTTCTTTTAACAAATTTATCCCAGTAGTTGTTGGGAAACGACCTGAAAGATACAAAAGCAGAGAAGAAAACATTACTCTTTTAAAATGATAAATAATATAACTTTGAAATAAATAACACACTTGAAATAACATGTAAACATACGCATTGCCATCCACATAAAAGTGCAGTGAATTAAGTGATCATCTTATTGCTTAATTTTTCAGTGTCACGGTTACCTTAAATATTATTTTTAAATGTACATGTAATGTAAATCACATTAAAATTATGGGTTGATACTTTAATGAAGAATAACAATCTTATTTTAACAAGTGTTATATTTATCATTTGTTTATAACATCAACACAAATTAGTCAATTGTCTTTAAAAATTAAAATATGTAGAAATTAATCATTGTTTTTCTATGGAAATAAAAAAAGCCTCATTCCCACAATTATCCTCCAAGAAACTTTCAGCATAGTACTAATCCTTGACTCTGATACCTTGATTAGCATACAGGATTTACTACAAAGGGTCAACTTCATTACAGTTAGTATTAATGCTTGAACTGCTAAACGAAACATTTAGCATTTAGAGTAAACATATATTTTATAGAAATAAATCAGTACCATTGGAAAACTCAGAACCTAGTAGCCATTATAATCCTTTTTTAATTAAGTTTACTGGTACATTTTAGGTATATGATGACATTCATCATTGGAAATTTGTACTTTTACATAGTGTATCTTGTTTTTTGTTTGCATATTTGTTTGTTTTCACCATTTTCCTGCCCTTCCCTTTTTTTTTTTCTTCTGATACCGGGGATTAAACTCAGGACCTTGCACTTGCAAGGCAGGTTCAACGGCACTGAACTACATCCCCAGCCCAGTTAAAACTTTTTAAACAATAAACCAAGCTAACCACAATCAATGGAAGGTATTTTACTCTTGAATAGTACAAACTACTCAAAAATGACTATGTAATTAATCTTTTTTATGTGGAAAATTGCACATTTTCCACATAATGATGGATTTATTTGCCTGCAACAGGAGCTAGGAGTCTGGATCTTGAACTCACAAGGGTAAGCAATCACTGGACAGAAAGTTTTGGTTTCTCTGTAGTCTATTTTATAACATGTTATAACACTTAGCTAGGTAACCAAAGGCACCAACTAAAAATTCAGAACTCAGACACATAAAAGTGTGAAATTTAATACTTCTGCCTTTAATGCTGCACCTCTTTCCTTAATGATTACTTTTGGCTTCCTCTGCTTTGAGGTGAGATTAGCACTGTGCTGCAGGTTATGCCCCTCCTGCTACACACTTCCCTGAACTCTAAGCAATGGAGCTGAAGTTCCAACCCATGCCACAGAAATAGCCTCAAAGCCCGTTTTGAATAAGGAACTCAAGGACAGATAGGATAGAAATCGAGGACATCCAACAGGAGGCTGATGGAGTCTATGCTAGATTTTCTTGGCTGAATATGTAACTCATATTTATTTGTGCTAAACTTTTGACAAATCCGCTGGAACTTCAGCAAAGTACTTTTGTAAGTCCTGAAATTTTTGAGCACAGAAATGTCTCTTATAATTCATCACTCACTGTGTGTTGATTACGAGTCGGTCCCACTGGCCTTTAATATCGTCGTCTGAAGGCTGCTCTGTAATGTAAAGCCCATCAAATTCCAATTTGCGTGCTACTTCCTTTTCTCGCTTGAAAATAACCAATGGGACCTGCAGATGAAAAATAAACATGTGAAATTAGGTTAGACTTAATGGCATCTCCTGTGGTCACTGTCTTTTCAAAAACAGCTTTCAGAAAGAAATAGTTCTCATGTACTCCCAAGAAGGTAAAAATTAAGTAAAAATGAATGAGCTATTGCTGAGACAGAAAGTAGTATCTAAAATGTTTTGGAAAACTAAAAGACAAAAGAAATATTACATATGCATATGTTTTAAACACATAAGGAGGTCATAAATAATTGCACTGATGCCACCATTCTAAATACTAAAGAGAAAAACATGATTATGCAAAATTGTCATAAATATATAAATAATGTCAGTGCAGATGGACATAAAAATTTAGCAATCTTATTAATGTTCCACAATGTGTTACTAAAAAAACATACATTTTCACTGGGAAAAATCTCTTTAATAATCCATGCTCAGCAAGTCCACACACACTATCTGGAGAAATAATTTAATTTCCACTTCAGCAAGAATCTTTGTCAGTTTTCCAAGCTGTCTCTAAAACCCATCAATTCTCTTTCCATGTAGACCAACTCCACACAGCAACAGACAAATGGGAGATGCAGGCATTCTGGAAGCTCCCAAGAATCTTTACCCCGTTAAAAAATGGGAGGAAAAGGGAGATAAATTTCTTGAAAAGACACTTGACACTCATCTAGCCATTTATCCTGGGCCCCAATGTCTCAAAAAAAAATTTTGGAATCTTTACCACCAGAGGCAAAGGACAGAAAAATAAAGGTACCACAATGACAAGCAGGAAAAGATAAACAGGTTTGCACAAGCAATGTGCAGCTGTAAGCACTCCAAGAGATTATCTTGAATTCTATTCACCAAATTTTATTGTTCCCTGGGCAGAGCTTTAGAGATAAAGCTGTATTATTTTCTGAGTGAAGTGTCACAAACCATAAAGCATTTCTGCCAAGGATAACACTAGATACTCACCCAGTAACAGATCAAAATGACTCACAGGTATTTCTATAAGTCCCAACATACTGGAGCACTGCTATGAGACACAGCGGGTAGGCGAACTCATTTCTCCAGGGTCAAGGTACGGATGAAACTGTCCTTTGTGCGAATGATTATCAATAGATGAAAGAAAGCTACAGTACAAATCCTCCTCCCAGCAGAGCCTGCAGCAATGGCTGGCCAGTGTAGATACACTGCCAGGGCAACCATAAAAGGGTACCTCAGCACCAGAGATGGAAGCCCATGACCATGCCCTGCTGTCTGTACGACAGCCCAGCTTTTCCTCCACTTCGTTCTGCTTCCTCCCCTTTCCCTGCAGGTGTGGATTCATGGGGCATTAACAAACGAAATCCATGCGCGTGATTCCCATTTCAGAATCAGCTTCCCTGAAAATCTGATCAACACACACACACACACACACACAAAACTGCACACACGCCAACAGGCACTTTGGTGCCTTACTATCTTACTTTCAAGCAGTAGTAGCCAATGATGCAGAAGAAGGAAATGACAGTGTGGAGAATAGCTAGGATACGCAAGGTGGGCTCCATGTAGCCACTGCTCTCCTCCAGCACGTAGTGAACTGCAATGATTCTATGCGAGCTGCTGTCCAGGCTGGTGGTCACCTTGGCACTTTCACTGGAGCTTCGGGTGGGCAGCTCCTTTCCTTCAACCACAGAAGAAGTGGAGACCTGATTCAAACCACGTAAAGGATAGTCAGTTTCTACACCTAACATATCTTCACAAACAAAACATAAGGGCAACACAGCTTTTTATCAAAGAGCTGGATGGGAAGTCATTTCTTGATGAAAAGACTAAGAACAAAGGCTATCTAAGAAGGCAGATTTTCAAGCATTTAAGGCAGGTGATGAATATGCCATTCTAATCCAACTGAATTATGTGGACTCCAACACATGCAGGAAAAATTAGATCGCTGACATCTTATCCGAAGAATTTAACACAGGTTATGTCATACGCTGATAGAACAAGTAAGGTATTTGGTTGAATGACACTGGGGCCACTGTGGGCAAACCTTCAGCCAAATTCAACACTGCAGCTCATTCTGAAGGAGAAAATATATTCTGCCTTCCTGGGGTATCAATGATGTACTTGCACTTCAGTTTTTCTCTTTCATTAAAATACATCTTAGAATAGATTTAGATGTGCTCATTAGTAGAGCTGAGAAATGTGTATATTCCCCTCAGTCTTGTATTTTTCTATTGTTTGCTTAAACACTGGAAAGTACTCACCTTATAAAAGAGCAAGATGAAATTGATTGCAAATGCGACAAATAAGGCCAACATTCTCATGTTGTAAAAGTTGCGAGCAAAATAGTTCTGAAGGTGAAAAAAAGTTATGAGGTCACTGAGTCAACAAACTTGAAATGCGCAGAGGACTTAAATAAAGCATTTACTCATATACCCGAAACTACAGGTTGTAGCCCATGTGTTGAGCACTATTCTGGGTGCTACAGACACACACAGAAGGGGAAAGATTCTGCCACCTCAGAGAAGCCAAGTAACAAAGAAGTAAACTAGAATAAAGTGAAAATAAATCTAGTTTAAGGCTCACAGAACAGGGCAGTAATTTGGAGAGGTGATCAGGGCAGCGCTATTCAGGAAGGGAGCCTGACAGAGTGGACTTCCTGAGGGGACTCCAGGAGTATTTCAGGCCAACATTGGTGAAGAGTGTTTCAGAGTCAAGAGCAACAACGGCAGCCCTGAGTTAAGAGCAAGGCTGGCTGGGGTGTGTGAGGAGTAGTGTAAAACAAATGCCACAAGCAGGGAGGAGAGGGAGTGGGGTTAGACAGGTGAGCAGTGTCAGAGAGGTAAGCAGAGGTCAGGCAGGTGGGCAGGGGTCAGGGCTATAAAAACTTCTGATAAAAATCTGCATTTTTTATTATAATACAGTGGCTTATGACCTCTGAACAAGACAATGACTTTGAGGGTCACCACCCTACCGTGTATGAAGCCAACACTGACTAAATCTGGGATGTGGACGGATGACTCAATCCAGGGGTGGTGAACCTATGGCATGCGTGTTTTTTATTTTTATTTTAGGACGAAAGAAACTCATACACTAGTATGAGTTGTTTTATTTAAACTAAAACTTCAGCGTTCTGGTACAGCACTGGCACTTTGTGATAAATAAGTGGCTTCTGGGCTGCCGTTTGGGTATTCATCTCTAAAAGGCTTTCCATCACTGACTTAAACCCTCCCACAGCAACCGTTTTCTTACCAGTAATGTGCAGAAAATGATGGAACCCACCCCACAAGTTTGCTTTGAGGATGAAATGAGTTAATATAGAAGCAGTTATCTTTTAATCTCATTACATGCATTGCTATTGTAGAAGATAATATACTGCTTTATCATAGTTGTTATTTTATTGTGCATGCAATGGGAAACTATCGGGAAGTTTGAAGAGGATGATGCAAGTGGATTATGATGTAAGGAGATTACTCCAGTGCCCATGTAGAAAACAGGTCATGGGGCAAGGATGGAAATAAGGGTATTATAGATAGGTGAGTTAATTAAATATTTGGAGGCAGGTAGGCAGGGCCTCCCTTAAGGCTCCGGCCCTCAAGGCCCCAGTTCTCAAAGTGCCAGCCCTCCAGGAGCCACCATAGCAAGGAGCCAACATGGAGAACTGAGGTACATCCACTGGTTAGCATTATAAAAAGAAGAGGCATCACTTCCCCCAGAGATAGAAGTGAGTGATATGCTAAATAGGAAATTCCTTATATGTGACTTGTTTTCCCATTTGGTGCTCATTTAATCAATATTACCCGGGTGACTGTACTTGTAATCTTATCGGTTGGTCATGGTTTTGTCCCACCTCATGCCACCTTATAAACTCCCGTTGGGTCTTATAGTTTGGCCCACTTTGTACCTGCCTCATCACATGGCTTTGCTGTATAAAAAAATCTTTGAGAAGTGGGGTGCACTTGGAAACAGCCCAATTGCCCATGAACTGGAGACTGCGTAAAGAAGATGTGGTTTTTCTATAAAATGGAGTACTACTCAGCAATACAGAATGAGAAACTAGAGACATTTACAGCTAAATGGCTGCATATTGAGGAAATATTCTTAAATGAAATAAATAGGACACACGCGTAAATACCAAATAGTTTCTCTGGTGTGAAAACTAAAATTATAAATGAGGTTCAAATCGTATAACTGATGATGTGAAATACGAAGAAAAGGGCTAAAGGAGTAGGAGAAGTGGGAAGGGGAGGGGAAAGGAAAGAAGGAAAAAGAAAAATATGAGAAAGGAAAAAAATGAAAACAAAGTCTTTGTACATAGGGGAGGGAGGAGGGATGAAGGGAGGGCAGGGGAACGGGAAAAAATGAGAACCAAGACACATCATGCGAAGGTACAAGATCCCAATGATGAATGGAACTGTACTGTATACCTAAAAAGTACCAATTAACTTAATAAATAAAAATAAGTAAATAAACAGAAAAATGGGGTGGCTGGTCCCCTTTCGGTCTCTCTCAGACTGAAGCTTTCCTTCTCTCAATAAATTTTTCCTAAAAAAAGAAATAAATAGTAAGTTTTTCCTACTCTTCACCTCCTTTGTACCTAGAATTTTAGAGAACACAAACTCTCATTTCAGATATCTAGTGGCTTTGGAAGTTACATCTCTTCCCCTTATACCAAGAGAACCACTCAGGAAGTTCTTAAAGGAATGCGGGAAGAGATAATATTGGCAGAAGTACTCAGCCTCAGTAGTAGCTGTGGTGATGAAAAGAATCTGGTATACTCCGGATGCATTTGGAAGGAAACACTGAAAAGTATTGCTGGATTATATTTGAAGCGAGATAAAAAGGATTCAAAGTCGGTAACTTCTAGATTGTGTGGCTAAGTACTAAGTAAATGGTTTGTAGTATTTATTGAGATGGAAAACAATAACAACAACAAAAACAAATAACCTAGAGGAAGTGGGTTCAACAAAACAGACCATGGGGAAAGCAAGTGTTTGTTTTGATCCTAAATGGGCGATTCTACAAACTACGCAAGCAGAAATGCCAGGGCTTTAGTGTCAAGAAGCCACATCAAAGTGACAATATCCCTCTGGGTACACACCCATCTCTGCTGGTGCCAGTTCCCCACAGGGAGCCCCGTCTGCTGTCAGGACTTATTGCTCTGAGGCTGGCCAGTCCTACCAGTGCTCCTCAGAAGGCAAAACAAGGTCACAGGGGCTGCGTTAGCTGACACTGACTCTCTGAGCAGGATGGTCACACAGGCAAGGGAGGTGGGCCATGTGCTAGCCCACTACAGCAAGGTTAGTCTTAAGCATGCAAATTGCTGAACAGAGACAGAGGAGCCCCAAAGGGACAAGAGAATGTGCGAAGTCTTAGACAGAAGAAAACTGCCAGCTGCTTGGTTTATACAGCTGAGGTTAAACACGTTCTTAAGGAATCCAAGGGGCTACTGCAGGTGCTGGGAAGTCCATCCAACCTCTAAATCCTAACAGTCATGTATGCTGCCCCAGCAACCACTGCGGGGTACCACATTAATGATTATCCAGGCTGTCTATGGAATATTTATGTTCAGTGTGTTTTGCAATAAATGATATTGGAAAATAAAGGATTTGGAGAACATCCCTGCATAATGTAGATGACACTACAAAGAGAACGATCTTAATCTCTTTTCAATTTTTATTTTTTATTTGTCTCTATTGAAGGAATAATTTTGAAATATCATCCATGGAAATTTGGTAAACAGTATTTTTATTATTGGGTTTTTTTTCCTACGTAAAAGGGTGATGTTTGAGAGGTACAGACGAAGCCAGTTCTGGAATTTTGCTATTAATTACTTAAACCCTAGGAAGCATGTTTTATCTTAATCTACTTCAAGGCTTCTTAATCTGTGTACTAAGCACCCTCAAGATTTTGTGGGGAGACACTGAGAACAGGACACTGGCAGTCACTAATCTGAATGGTTTCAGGTAGTGTGAACATGTGCAGAGTTGGGCTAAACCACGGGGAGCTGTGGACCAAACACATTCACTGTAAAAAAAAAAATACACACACAAAGATGGGCAGATAAAACATAGCACCCACAGGTTCTGCATCCAGAAATTCAACCGACATCTGGGTAAGACTGCCTCTATGCTACTAAGCATCTCTCTACATTTTTTTTTTGTTACCTTTATTCCCTATATATAGTGCAACAACCTATTCCCTATCCTTTACATTGTATTAGATATTATAGTAATCTAAACATAATTTAAAGTCTACAAAAGGATGTTCATGGGTTATAGTGAATAACTACTTCAGTTTATTTCAGGACTTGAGCATCTACAGATTTTGGTACGGAAGTGGAGGTCCTGGAACCAACCCCCCGCCCCAAGTACAGACATACCTGCACTTGAGGACTGAATGTCTGGGTACCAGATTTCTCTCCAAGGGTAGGTCAGTGAATATTTACTGAGCCTGAATTATTATTATTTTCTCCCAGTAAATCAGAAGCAACATTCAATCTAGGTCGTCTTACCAGGAGTTTCTGTTGATATGCAATGATTTTCTTCCAGAAGGCTGATTCAGGAACTTCAGGTTCTCCATATCTGTGTGTGTGAAGCTGCCTCAGCTTCTGTTTACCCTTGTCTTCCTTGGCTTTCTCTTCTTTTTCTCCATCTTCTCCCCTATGGAGACAAATGGTTAAAATACAAGCCATCCAGAAATTAAAGAACCAAACAGGTGCGGTGCCAAGAAAAACAAGTGAACAAATACTTCACATCATAGAATTGCTTTTGAAAACTGATTTGACTTCTAATGAATGATAATATTCTGAATTTTAGATTCAAGGGTAGGATTTCCTTGATGGTCATGACCACCAATAAATGGTAATTTTTTGAAGTTCACATCAAGAAGATCTTTTCAAGTTTGAAGAGTCTTTATATCTATATGTCTCACATTCCCTTAACTGTGCTATAAAAACATGTAATTATAAAAGAATATGACAATGAATATTTATTTTTGCTGTGACTTTTCAACATACCTTATTTTTAATTTTTGATTGTAATGTTCAGCTTTTAACATTGTCAAAACACTCAGATTTAACATCAAAGGCCTATACTTGGTTTTCTACATTGATATATTATTACATTATCAGAGTTTTGTGGCACATGCCTGTAATCCTAGTTCTCTGGGAGGCTAAGGCAGAAGGATCAGAAATTCTAGTCCATCCTGTGCAACTTGGTGACTTAGCAAGACCCTGTCTCAAAAATTTTAAAAAATATATAAAGGACTAGAGATGTAGAGATGTAGCTCTGGATGAAAGCCCTGGGTTCAATCCCCAGCATTACCAAAACAAACAAAAGTACTAATTTTCTGACATATATTGTTTAGTTCTGTTTATTAAATAAAATATATTTTAATATAAATGGTCAGTATATTGTTATATGAATTCCAGATAGAATTCAAAGGGCTAACATTTTATACTAGAAAATCTGTAGGTTAAAATAAATCAATCTTTCCTAAAAGCTAAGTTACACACACACACACACACACACACACACACACACACATATAGAAGCTGTACTTAACCTTTAACCCATATGAAGTATATCTGAGATTATTCTTAACACTAGATAAAGAATCGCTATTTGAATGCCTTCCATTCCCTGTTAAACATTCTGCTTTTGACTTTAATAGTCATTTATATGGCTATTTGTGCAGCTGATCTCACAGAGCAGGATCCACAATGGAAGTGCAAAAAATATGCAATGATAAAGGAAATTTTACACTAAATGAAAAATAAGATGCTAATGTAGTAAGAGTAGCCCTAAACTTTTGTCTCTTCCCAAATTTTTCAAAATGTCCATATAATGTTTCATATACTGGGGTTTCCATTACTAACATAAAGCCAAAGGAGGATAAGAGGGAGCTGCAGATTCTCACTGCTTTGCATTCTGCTCTTTATTTTCTCCTGCTATGTTTATAATTATGCTCCACAGCCCTGGGCCTGCTGATAAAAATGAAGATTCTGGGGTCCCCGCCATCATACCTGCTGAGTCAGAATCTCTGGAGTAAGGCCAAAAGGATCCACACTATTAACAGCCTCCCCAGGTGATTCTATATGCCTGGTCCTGGGACTGCCCTTCGAGGAATAGCACAGTATAGGATCCTAGGACACCTTACTTAAATGCCTGTTTTCTCCCTCCTCTAAAAGAACAGAATACATGCACAGTCTTTTGTTTTTTGGCTTTTGGTTTTTTTTTTTTTTTGAGACAGAGTCTCACTATGTAGTGAGACTGACCTGGAACTCACTATGTAGCCCAGGCTGGTCTTGAACGCACACCTATCCTCCTGCCTCAGCCTCCTGAGTGCTGGGATTACAGGCATGCACCACCACGCCCGGCTACATGCACAGTCTTAAAGACAGAACTTTATGTCAGTCATCTTTTAGAGAGAGCTCCTGGAATCACTGGAGTCCTTCACGCAGGGAGAGGATCATATAAGTGGAACCCTCATAGGACAGAGAGGAAGATTAGAGAATGACATTTAGCCCAGCGATGCATCTCACTTATCCTTGTAATGGACTGAGGTCCTGGCCACTACCACCTCTCCACTGAGATAGCCGGTGTGATCTGCAGCCCCTTTGCGGGATGAAATGCTCCCTTCTAGCTTCCAAAGAGAGAACAAGAAAAGGAGACTTTCTTTAAAAAAAGGAACACAGTACAGAAACTACATACTCAGCCTTTTCGGGTTCAGATTTGGTTTCCTCTTTTTCTTCCTTTTCTTCTTCTTTTGGTTTCTGTTCCTTGAAGGAGTCAATGGGGAAAGAAATGTAGGGTTATACTTCACCTTGAACCACATTCGGGGAGCCACGTGACTGTGCGTCACACCGTAGCCAAGACAGGACACCTTCTTGCTCACACGGTGATGGAAGACCCATGTGCGCTGTTCATTCTATTGCTCCAAATGCTCCCCCCGCTTCTGTACATGGTATAAACTTTTGGGGGAGCGTCCTTTCCACGTGCTTTTCTCCTCTCAAAAATATTCTTCTTTATCCACCTGCTCAAATCTTACTCATCCTTCGAGGCCCATTTAAGCCCTACCTCTCAACCCTCCTTTGACTACTTTAAACCATACTGGTATTTGGATTCTTTCCACTTATGTAACCTCTGATGTTTACTAACTGTCCTATTTAACACTTACTAGTTTCCTGGTTTCCTCATGTATGTTAGACCTCCCCCATCCAATCAGCAGTTTAAGGTCCTTTGAAAGTAAGGCCTATCTCTTACCCATAATTCCCTATGACCCCAATGTTGCTGGACACATGGGAAATACTAATGAACTATTCTTAGGCAAAGGGCTCCATGGAGCTACTGTCAGGGCAAATACTTAAGATTCCACCTTAGTGGTTTAAGATAATTTAATAATTTGTGAAGAATCTTAACTGGCTGGGAATGTAGCTCAGTGATACAGCACTTGTCTTCAACCTCTAGCACTGCAAAAAGGAAACAGAAACAAAAATTCTTAAAAGAGCAATCTTTTGCCCTCTGCCTAACAAAAAGTAATTTCTTTTTAGAAGTGTCACCAGCTCAAAGCCTGGTCTGTTGTTCACCTGTTTTACAGACCTAAAGCCTGGAGAGGGACCCAACCCCAAGATACACTACCTGATACTTTTCTTGCACCTCTGGGATGGGGACGGGGTTGGCCATCAGGTCACCAAGGCCGGCATTGGGATTATGAGGGATGAGCTTGTACTGTCCTCCCTCCCTCTTCAGGTCCAAGCCAAATATGTCCGAGAGAAGGTCGCTTTCTTCCGTCAGATCCTTCAGATCAGTGAGGTCTTCAGAGGGCAGGGCAGTTTCTACGGGCTTCCTCTCTCCCTCCTCTCCATCCCCACGCACCTCATCCTGAGTGGGGTCTGGCATGTTGGCCAGAAGTTCTGCCACTTTGATCTTTTTAGCGCCCTCTACAAGGCTTCCCCCCAGCAGCAGGCTACAAACAATGCGGAAAAAACCTCTGCAGACACTGGCCACAAAGTGCAAGAGAGTCACAAAAACACTCCAGTAGGAGGAGAAGAAAGCCATGACCATGTCCTTCACGGTCATCTTCTTCACCTTCTTCATCTGCTTCTTCAAGCTCTTCAGACTCAGCATCCGCATGAGGGTCAGGACGTTGTACCTGAGGGCAAGCAGGGCTGACCTGACGGTCAGCATAGAGAAGAAGCCCATTCGGGGCCCCTGCTCTTCAGGCCGCTCCTTCTCACTCTCCTCTTTATTCGCTGACCTCTCGTTCAGGTCTGACTCTGAGATCTGAGCAGCCAGCTGCATCTCAAAGATGGTGTCCTCGCAGAAGTTCACGAAGAGCTCCATCTTCTCTTTCTCCCCGCCCTCATTGACCACGTCGAATATGAACTGCCTCTTGGACTCCTTGACCTGCGGCTTCTCCCACTGAGTCCGACTGGATTCACTGATCTCAAAATACACCCTCTCAATGCGCTTGGCACTTCCCATGATCTCGATGCGGCCCAGGAAGGGCTGGAAATAATTGAGCACGCTCTCCGCCAGCTCTAGGAACGTCTGCAGGCGGGTGTCATTGGGCATGTGCTCAGAGAGGTTTGTCAGCAGGACCGCAACATTGAAGCCGATATCCTTGGCAGGCTCGTGGAACCGTTTGACAAACTCTTCATAATCCAGGGTCTCATTTTCATCAGTCTCGGCACAAGACAAGAGAAACTCAGTTTCTGACTGTGTGTAGTGCTTGTGGCTCTCCATGGCTTTATGGAAGTCCCTCTTGGAAATGACTCCCTTGCCATCTGGGTCATACTCTTTGAATGTGTCAGAAGAGGTCAAGTCCTTAAGTTTTAAGAACATGTCAAAAAATTTGAGAATCATCTCCACATTGTTGGAAGATTCTACAAGCATATCGACCATCTGTTTGCCAATTGTTCCATTCACGACATTACCTGGTGATAAAACAATTGCATTTGTTCAAAATGAGCATTCGGAAGAAAGCCAGTATCTACAGAGAAAATGATACAGCTCTGTAACAAGATATGAATCAAGGTATTGTCTTGTTTAATCTCCCAATGTATGAAGTCTCAGGAAGAGATGGACGATAATCTGTAAACTGCAGATTTAAAAGGTGATTACATGAATATACGAAAAACCATATTTACAAAGTAATTAGTGACTCACATAAAACAATATCTGAACAAAAGCTGGCATTACTCACCTCAAATTAATTGAAGAAATAACATGTTTTAGACAAGGAAATTAGAGCCAATAGCCAAAAATGAAATCTAATCTCCCAACACTGAAAAAAAAAACATTTGCACAGCCCTCCAGGGTTTAAAAATCACTACCAAAGATAATATTTGAATTAATTTTCTTATGTATGTTAGGCAGGAATTTTTTAATTCTAATTTTACCAATGAGGCAACTGAGCTTTAGCAAGGAAAAAAATCAATATGCTCTTTAAGACATGATTATTAAAGGTTAATGTCAAGACTTTGAACCAGATCCTCAGAGAGCAAGTTACATGAATTTTTTGACTCACAGGAGAGAGCATCTTCCTATATAGCTTTTCCTATTCCAGAGTGGTTAGAGCTAGAAAAGGCCAGGTTATTGGACAGCCTGAGAAAATCAGAAATGATCATGAATTAAAAAATCACAGACTGCTTTGATTTCTTTGATTCTCTAGATAGAATGTGCTGTGTAAGAAAAGACAGAGAGTAGAAATAGTGCCTGGCAAGAGTTCTGCATGATCCACTGGAGAGGCAATAGCTACAGTGGGTTTGCCTGTGGATCTGGAGCGCCTCCATGGGCTGAGTCCAGGTTCCTACCAACTCAGGTGGTTGAACAGCTCTGGCAGATTACACACCTTCCTCTTCACCTTGTTTTTTTGCTCATTCACAAAACAGGGAAAAATATAACTATCAAACCCCAAAACCTATTATCAGGATTAGAAAGCCAGCACATCCTGAGGTGAGTTGTAAGTTATTGCTGCTGTTTTGCTGCTGCAGTTTTTACTGCTGCTGATGCTACTGTTTAGATCAAAAACTGAGAAGTCATAGGGCCTATGCCCGGAGAGAAGCTGAAGCGGCTACTGCTGGTGCCAACTATGGGTTTTAAGAAATTCCGCATCTCTGAGCCCTGACACACAATGAGATAACCACCTCAGCGAACCACACAGAATAATGCAACACGTGGTAGGGGGCTGGGAGGAGGTCAGGGAGAGGGAGGAAGAGAAACAAGACATAACGTAATATGAATCGTTCCTTGGTTGTTTTGGGGGTTTCCAGTACCTACGTGACGTCACTGCAGTCTCACACCTACTCATCACTATATCAATGTTATAAAGAAGGAAATGGGAAAATAGAGAACTAGCCTGTCCCAGGGCTACACCGCTAAGAAGGGGAAGCCAGAATTTGAACCTGGTGGTGCGTCTCAGAGCCCAAGATCCTAACCGCCATGTTTACTGTGATCCAGAAAAGAACTACAATAGCAAAGAGAAAGAAGCTGCGGAGAGAAGAGAGAGAGAATAACAACTGGGAGGCTGCTGCAGGACGAGAGAACGGAAGGGCCGGGGCTGTGCCTGCATTATCTCAACCTTATCTCCCTTCAGTAACCACAGAAGCAACCACGTGCTCATCTCTAAGCAGCGTGTGTAGTTGGAGTTAACCCAAAGGTCCACGAGTCGCACTGATTACAAACAAATAACTAAAATGTTCCTTATGCACTGGAGAGAGCTTGCTAAGTAGGAATCTCTGTGAAATGAAACTCTTGTTAGAAAATACAACTGTTTTCATCCTGCAGATGTATGAAAAGTGATGCATGCAGGATTTTCTTTTCTTAAAGCTTGAGAACAAAAGTAGTAAAGCTAGCAATAAATCCAGGCTATTCGTCACCTCTCAGTGTTATTTTATTCTTTGTTGCGGGCTGATTCCATAAGCAAGCACACACTGGTTATAAAATAAAACAATAAAGATAATCTGAAAGTATAAATAAAAACTACCTTCTAGCATGGACAGCAACATGACCACCATATCCTTCTGAAGATCCATTAATTCTTTTAATAGCTCAATTTGACTGGAATCCTAAAAATATGAACATATTACATTTGAGATACCAGGAGAAAAGTACGCCGTATGAACATAACATATATTCTCACAAAAAATAACTGCTTACCAATAGTAGGTACTTTAAAGGAAGTGTGTAAGTATGTAGCTTAATAGAAATTAGAAGTATGTAAGTATGCAGCTTAATAGAAATTAGATAGGCTTTGGGCCAGGGATTTAGCTCAATGGTTCTACCACCTGCCTCACAAGTGCAAGGAACCGAGTTCAATACCTGGCATCAAAAAAAAAAAGAAATTAGATAGGTTTTTTCTGCAGTAATGGGGGCTGAACCCAGGGGTTTTGCACCCTAACCCCAGCCTGCACACACACTCTCTCTCTCTCTCTCTCTCTCTCTCTCGCTGAGATGGGGGGTCTCACTAAGTCACTAAGTTGTTCATGCTAGGCTTGAACTTATGATCCTCCTGCTTAGCCTCCCCAAGTACTTGGATCTCAGGCGCGACACCACACTCAGCGATACGCTTCGGAACTTAGCATTACTGTGTCATATGCTAATTGCACCTCATACTCATCAAGGAAGAGTACGCACCACGGATGTGTCTAACAAAGCACGGGACGGACCTGAGCAGCGGTAGACGCTCCACTGACTGTCAGGTAAGACTCAGGGGCTTTGCACATTTAACATCTTTCTTCTATTGGAAAAACTAGTTGTTTCCCTTTATCTAATAACTTCTTAAATAAAGTGATTGAATATCACGCAAAATTATTTTATTCCAGAAAAAAAGCAGGCACATCGATGACAGGTAGACTTACCTTACATAAATCTAACCAAAAACGTACACAGGTATCACCTATCCTAACATTGTGTGATGCATGTTATTAGCCAATTTCAGTGAGCTTTCCTGTTCTTCTCTGGTTAAAATTTTGGTTTTTGTTTTGCTTTTGATTAATTACCATAAAAATCTTTTTAAGTAGATATGTTGTATCTAAACATTACTATGCTTAGCAATTGCCTGGAAATATGGTTGTGTATACTCACAAACACACATAACAACCTGATACTGTAACAATACTATTTAAACTATTCTTTGAAATTTTTCTTTTTTAAAAAATAGCATAAAATACTATTTTATTCACATGGATTTTGCTAAATACAAAGCTGAATTTCTACACTACCATAAGACGTACTTAGCTACATCCCCAGTCTTTTTTTTTTTTTTTTCAGACAGCCTTGTAAGTCATTAAATTGCCTGGGCTATATTTGAATCTGTGAACCTTCTGCCTCAGCCTCCCGGAAACCTGGGATTGCAGGTGTGTGCCACCATGATCAGCTTAGGCTTTTGCTTTCTTTGTTTTTTCATGTTGATAGGGTCTGAACCAAGGATTTATGCCCACTACCACTAGGCAAGTAGCTCTGCCCCTAAGCAGGCCTACCAGTCCAACTGTTTTCTAATAGTTGTTAACATCACTCTGACTATAAACCAGAAACAGATGCTGGGCAGCACCAGATGATAATAAAATGATGGAAATAAAGAATATCAGACAAAAATCACCTTGTGAGTATATAATTTTGGTTCAGTTGAGTTTCCTTTACTTACTAAAACATCATCAGTAATTAGATAAAAGAATAATGAGAGTTCCATCTTTGGCTGATGTCACCAATAACGAGATGCTGACATTCTCTCCTTGGCTACACTCTAGCTAGGTATCTCTAAGCCCTCTTCCTGATTAGGCCTCAACATCAATGTACAAAGATTTGACTAAACACTAATGTGATTACAAACAGCTTAAGGCTGCCCCGTCTTTATTACAACCCCCACAGACAGGATCTGTGGTTCCTTCTTGGGGAGGACAGCACCCTAACTTGGAGCACTTCCAGTTAGCAGACATGACTGGCTTATACTCTGGCTCATTTTCCTCCCTTCTCCCATTTCTCCCATTAAAATCTCTGTCCACCTCCATATAAACTAAAGGTGCTTTCACTTCATACAGAACTCTTTTTTGCTGCAACAGTTACTGCTGATCAGCACCTCTCCCGTCTACTATAGTGTGCAGCTTGGTTTATCTTTGACAATACACCCCTGCTTATTGGCCAAGGGCAGGAGTTACTATCCCCACTTACTGCAGGGGAAATAAGCCTCAGGGCAGAGGAAATGCCCTCACTCGAGCACAAGTGAGTGAAACGTCAGGCACTGGAAGGGCAGCATTTTGACTCTAAATCTAACATCCTTTCTTCTTCCTGACCATTTAGCAAATAGCATACCTCTCACATGGAATATCTCTCCAAACTCACCGCATCAAAGTGCAAGTTTTACCCAAGATTTTTACTGAGAACTTTGTATTCATGAATCTTTTAGTTCCAAAAGGAACAGAGCAGTGAGAAAAATAGCAGGCTGATGTGTTCAACAGGCCTTAAAACACGGTGAAAAGCCTGTTTATTCTTTCTTATCCTTACAGCTATTTTCTCTGACTTTCAGGAAGTTAAAGTTGTTTCTAATGGGTGAATGCTATCTGTGCTTGTTTATGACCCTAAAAGAACTGTCTCCTTTCAACAGGAGATTTGTGACAGGTTACAAATCCTTTTATAATTATTCCTCTGGTAAGCGGGAGGAGAATGCTAATGTATAAATATAAGGAAACATGTCTATGAGGACCATGAAATGGACAGGGTTTGAAGAGTCCACTGATTTATTTCTCCATTCCATAACATCTTTTGTTTTCAAATGTGAATAAAGACTCCCCCCTTTCATTCTCCACTTGCATAAAGCATTTTTATTACACAATTAAAAATTTTGATACAGAAGAAAAGATGTTTAAAGAAATTATCTGGAAAAAATAATGTTCAAACACAGAAAAGCATGTTCACTTGGCTGATAATTATCCTCTCCTGTCTGCCCGCTAGGTTAGAAAGCAGTCTACGTACCTGGGACAGCTTCATTTGCATGTGGGCAAACACATGGAGAAAGCCCACCACTGCATCCCACAACCTGCTGTGTGCCAAACTTTGCTGATTCCCAGTGCAAGGACCCTAGAACACAGACAGCAAGCATTCTTGATCATTCATTGCCAAAACAGACCTTAAAGTAACAGGAACAATTAAATTAGTGCTTATATAAGTTATTGCAAGCATGTTACCTGAAAAGATAAGGACCCAAAAGGAAAGCAACAGGTGATAACCAAGAGATAGGTGTGTTCTTTTTTGAAATTATTAATAAACCCCCAACCGTGTCTCTAAAGGATTTTTATATCCTGTTTCTGTATAAATAATAATAAACTGGTATAAGAGATTGCCAAGTCATTTCATTTTTTGCTCTCTTTGAGTTAGGGCTGTTTAGTCAAGTCAATCAGCAATCATCACCTTGTGCAAAAAGAATATGAGACTGTGCTGGAGAAGAGAGGGGCTTGCTTCTTTTTCCTAAATAGTAGGGCAGATAAAGCATTCACACAGAGAAAACACCCTTCTTCACCATTGTCTTAACTGTACAACTACTGTACAAACGCTGCAACCATTCAGATTTGATACTCGGCCATTGTTTTCATAACAACTCTGTAATTCAAGGCAACTGGGGACTCTGTTAAAATTATTACTGAGGAGGTCATCTAGCCGAGATGGTGCCAAAGGTTTGAGTTCCTGCTTCAGCTAACTCAAACTTAACTGAACTTAAGCTTAATCAGTCAGAATTAACATCTAACTAAGGACTTTACACTTTAAGCAATTATGTTTTTTTGTTTTTAACTTGCTTCCAGAACACCTTATAAAAGATTTCTGCAGCCAGTTGTGACAGCATATGCCTATAATTTCAGAAGTGAGGCAGGGTAATGGCAAATTCAAGCTCAGCCTGGGCAACTTGGCAACTTTTTTCAAAAAGAGAAGGGCTGGAGATATAGCTCAGTGAGAAGACCCTGGGTTTAGTCCTTAGTAACAGTCATGCATGCATGCATGCACACACACTTCTCCTCCTGCCCTCTTGGTGGAAGAGCGAACCACTTATAGGCTGGTGCTACGTACTGATGAACAGTGGAATGCTTAAATAAATGCATTAAAACTTTAATGTACTTAAACTTACCTTGTAACAAACCTAACTTTGCTCTCTCGGTTTATACTTCTGAAGTGATCTTCATCAGTACCACTGAACGTGTGGTGTAACAGGCAAACTCTTGCTAGAGACAACTTCTGTTTTCACTTTCCAAGGAAAAATTCTACAGTCGTTCAGATTTGTAAACACGCCCCCAGTAACCATGAAAATAAATACTAGGAATTTTATTTCGAAAGAAAAAAAGGATCTAAAATATGATCTTTAATGTCTAATTCCTTCCTTCCCTTCTACAAATGACTCCTAATGAGTTTCTGTTAGAAAGCACATTAAAACTCAGATTTTAGTCTAGATAAGAGGGGAAGAGATGGTCAAGACAATGAAATGGAGCTTTGACACACCTCAGCTCCCCTGAGGCCCTCTCCAACTTGGAGAAGACAGTGAGCTCTGAGCATCTCCACATTACAAAAACAAAACTCCACATCTTCAAAACTGATGATACGTCTTTCCACCTACGGTGCCCTACAGACAGGCTAGGGGACTGAGGAATTCACTCCCCTCCACTCCTTGGAGCTCAAGCACTGCCCCGAGTACCACCCTAAAGCCATCCCTCCCAGGTCACTACCCTCCACCCACTGGAGCCTGGATTCCCTGTAACCCCAGACCAAAGCACATTCACCAGCCTATTTTCCTCTTGCTCTCAAGTCCAAAAGCCTGGTTTATCTGAAAGCTGTTCAGTGTTCCTTTTCTGTTATCCATTTCTCCGTTTGTGACCTGCCGTAAATGCAGCTATTTTTCCCTACCATCCTGTGCATGCTTTGTAATTCTTTGCTTGCTGAACGCAAGAACCTAGAGGCAGTAACAGAAACACATGGAAGGACTGACACTGAGCAGTAGGACACTTTGGAGGGAGATTTCCATGTGCTGACATCTCCCCCTTCCACCCTCCTGCCGTGGGACTGAGGTCACAGACTCAGAGCCACACGGTTTTGAAGAAAATAAACATGATTTTTAAGTAAGTAATAATTTTCTTCACATGATACGTGAAGCTTTACCAAAAATTAAAATTTTATATTGAAGAAGATTAAGATCTTCCATACCCCAAAGTAGTCGAACAGTTTCTTTGGCAAACCCTAAAGCAATGGGATGGCAAGCCATAGACAAGATCCCATTCATCCTCTGTCAAAAAAAAAAAAAAAAAAAAACAAGAAACC